TTGTCTGTCTGTCAGTTACTTCTCGCTTAAACTACTGAAGCGATTTGAATTAAATTTGATACAGAGATAGTAGAAGTTCTGGGAAAGGACAAAGGATAATATTTCTCCTAGAAATCATGTTTTAAATGGGTAAAAAGGGGGTGGAAATTTGTATGGAAAACCAATATTTCCACGCAGACCAAGTCGCGGGCACTCTCCACTAGTGGTTAGGTTAGGTTAGGTTAGGTTAGGTTAGATTGTATCAATTGATTAATACAGAAATAATTCGATATAGTTTGTACAGTAAATAAAAAAATACCTTCTGATACTACCGATACCTTTGAATAAAAACATAATAAATAAATACATAAAATTCTTATCAAAATCACAGACTGAAACTACTGTGATTTTTTATCGAAGATTATTCTTTTTCTTAATGAGAGGTTAGGGCAAAGCAGATTTCCAGTTTGAATTGGAGTCTAGATAAGTCATTTCCATCCGAGGAAGTGATATCCTCTTCGCTTTACACCACATTAACATAACCCGTAAACCCGTTTAAAAGTGTTTTATTTTATGATTGATATTGTGGAAACATAAGAGATAAATAAAATAACTCTTGAATTGCGATAGAGTTTTGTTTACTTTAGTGAATAGGGTTCTGGGCTCCACGGAGTCAGGGAGAGTTCTGCCTCAGGAATGGGAGTAATTGTTTGTTACTCCAGGTATTGTCGCAACTATTACATTGAGTTACATTTAATATCAGGTGGGGCAGGGTCATTTGTAGCGCGTTGTATGAATAAAATCTATTTCTTAAAATACCTATAGGTTTTGCATAAACAAAAAAAATGGGTGCGTGTACTTATGTAGGCGCGTGAGAAGTTTTCCGTCTTTGGCATCGTTTAAAATTAGTTTTTGACGTGACAACGTCTTAAATTAGGTTGCTGCTGGGAGTCACTTATGAAAAAGTGTAACGCTCGGTAACGTTACGATGAGTCTCTCGTGTTAAGTTTAAGTTTACATGTACAATGTTTTAGTAAACAAAATATATTTCTATAGTTAAAATTTGTGCAATTCTTATTTTCATTCAATTCCTTGTTCCTATTGTGCAATTTAATTATATTCATATCAATAAATATTCTACCGAGAAAAAGACGTTGTCACGTAAAATCTTCGCCCGTAAAACCGACTTTACAGGCAACCATTTTTTAATTGCATGCAAATAATTAATTACAATAAATTTATAAAAAGTCTGGAAAAGGACACAGTCAATAAAGTTCAGTTTTAATTTGAAAAAAATAAATAAATAATCAAAATATTCAATTAAAATCGCTACTGAATATAATTTATTGGAACATATGTGATTTGCACTTGTATGAAACTCAAACACGTATTCCGAATATACAAACTAGAAACATGTGGATAAATATTATAAATATGAATACCTATAACTGTTACTTTATTACAAAAAATAAAGATGTGGTTTTTGGTTCTACTACACCAATGGTCAAGAGTTGGCGCTGTAGTCTCCTGAATCGCGCTTTGGTTCCGTTGTTCCAGATTAATAAATACTTTTGATATTATAAATATGAATACCTATAACTGTTACTTTATTACAAAAAATAAAGATGTGGTTTTTGGTTCTACTACACCAATGGTCAAGAGATGGCGCTGTAGTCTCCTGAATCGCGCTTTGGTTCCGTTGTTCCAGATTAATAAATACTTTTGATAGGCCTTCACAATGCCGTCGTTAGCACCCACTAAATAGAGATTCTATTTCTATTTTGTTGGTAGATTTTCTTAATGTGCGGTAAACACAAAAGTAACAGCATGCTGTTAATATTTTGTGTTACAGTGATGCGCGCGCATCTTAAAATTTCACTCTCATCATTTTTTCATAACGCGCCTAAAGAAGAATAACTTCAAAAAGAATATAAGTGGAAGATTGTTTGAATTTCGTAACTTAATCACGCAAAAATGGCTGAAAGGATGAGGTTAAAAGGACAATGGGCAAAATTGCATGGACACTGCACCCACGTCCGCCACGGCTTAAACTACATTTGTTTGAAAGGTATCATAGTCATGATCATTTGTGCCAAAGCGCATCAAATTCCATCCCGGGAGTCTTTAGTTATTTTAAGTTAAATAGGTACAATTCCATAGGTAAAAGTAACTATAACGAACATAATATTTAAAGATACAAGGACGAGTATATAGAACGGATATATTAATTGACGACCACGGAGGTCGTCAATTAATATATCCGAGTCGAGTGGTTTGTACGCCGGGTTTCATGGTGTCGCTGGCTCGAGATATCCCGGGTTCGAATCCTGGTGGGGGCAGATGTTTGTGTGCTGAGTACGAGCATTTAAATTGATCCATTGAATTTTTATTAGCTCGTACGATTATAATGACGAACGCGATGATAATCGTGTTCCTATTTCTAAAGCGTGTTAGTTAAATATCAATGAAATAACAGGGAGCTCACAAAATGTAAGACATAGGACTGCATACGAGTAGACTAGTTGCAACGGCAACTGCAATATCACATCCTTCAACCCCCATATCCTGTTAGACGTTTTAAGGAGTCTCAGTAAGTGCAAGCAGCAAGCAAGCAGGATAGTCGGTAGGCTTTGTTGTTTAGTATTTTGTATCTGGTTGTACAGTAAGATATGATTCACTCACTTATTATTGCTAATATTATAAAACGAAAGTACTATTGATATTGAATGAATTTCTTTAGCTATTTAAATATCACCATCATCAGCCTATTAATGTCCCCACTGCTGGGGCACAGGCCTTCCCTATGGATGAAATAGGGAGATTGGGCCATGACCCACCACGCGGGCCCAGTGCGGATTGGCGGGTGCTAACGACTGCAGATGCAGCCTGGACCAACGGCTTAACGTGCCTTCCGAAGCACGGAGGAACTCGAGATAGATGTTTTTGGTCACCCATCCAATGACCGACCACTGCGGAAGTTGCTTAACTTCAACGATCGCAACCGAACGCGCTAACGCGCTAACCAGCGCCATCGAGCTTCTCTATAAGGAGCTATTTAAATATGCCCTATTCCGCACTTAGTCCTTATATCGTCTATAAGGACTAAGTGCGGAAACCTTAACCCCTAATATAGAACATACCCAGGTGTATATCTTTTGACCCCCAGGTTATTTTTTTTTTTGGTGCCATAATAAAAAAGGCTAGTTTTTCATAGATCTATCGATTCATACTAATTACATTGTTTGTCGGAGCTGGGTGCGTTTTGCCCATTGTCCTTTATATTTAGTTTTTGGATTATTTATTATTTAATTTTTGGTTCTGAAGCTCCTCGATCTAGGGGGGGGCAGCTGCCCCCCCCCCCCTGCCCGTACCTGGCTACGCCCATGAGCGCTTGCACTTACTGAGCCACCTCAAAGCGGTTAACGGGGGTTGAAGGACTTGCAGTTGCAAATAGTGGACTCATCTTACTTCGTTGTGATTATGCGCTCCCTCTCACTTGATTGATTTTTATCTAACACGCTTCGGACATTGGAACACAATTATCGGTTTTGTCTAATCCTTAAACCTTGTGAAGTACTCCTATAATACATTATGCAGTGTCGAACTAACTAAATTAATTCCCTTGTTTCATTAATGTTCGTTCATCATAGCACTTGTACCTATTTAACTTAAAATAACTAAAGACTCCCGGGATAGAATTTGATGCGCTTTGGCACAAATCATCATGACTATAATACCTATCAAACAAATGTAGTTTAAGCCGTGGCGGACGTGGGTGCAGCTTCCATACATTTTTGCCCAATATCCTTTAATAAAAATATAGAATTGCACATCACTCTCATTAGTCTCGTTACTAAAGCTCTAATTTCGATAGGACTACTCGAAACAGTGAAGTGATTTCGTACTTAACGTAGGTAACGTTAAGCATTTCTTGGACGTAAAATGATGGATACAAGGAATTTTTTAAAGTGTGTAGTCTGTATAATGTTACTGTGTGTACAACTAACAAGTATTAAGGTATTCTTAAAAATATAACTATGGCCCGTTTAAAACACAGATTTCGAAGCATCATAAAAATAAGTTATTCGAAAATTAGTTTTTTACTAGCTAGCACAAGCTAGTTAGCTACTTAATGCTTTTATATGCGATTGGTGAAATCATTAAAATGGCTTGGATTGTTCTAGTTAAATCATTTCATATTTATCATTTTTTGACGTGACAACGTCTTAAATTAGGTTGCGGCTGGGAGTCACTTATGAAAAAGTGTAACGCTCGGTAACGTTACGATGAGTCTCTCGTGTTAAGTTTAAGTTTACATGTACAATGTTTTAGTAAACAAAATATATTTCTATAGTTAAAATTTGTGCAATTCTTATTTTCATTCAATTCCTTGTTCCTATTGTGCAATTTAATTATATTCATATCAATAAATATTCTACCGAGAAAAAGACGTTGTCACGTAAAATCTTCGCCCGTAAAACCGACTTTACAGGCAACCATTTTTTTTTATAAGCTGTCAGATTTCCAAATAAAATAAAATTCATTCTCATTATTTCTTATAAACCCGTCATAAACATTAATGAAGTTTCATTAGTTGTCCTAAAAAGATCATAAAATGACATCTCTTCTCATTAATTGTATGTGAGACGAAATTCATAACAATCCATGGTTTCACCGTGCGGGTGCCGAGTCCACCGTGTGGCAGAGAGAAACTCTGAGCAGTTCCCGGGCCTTGACATCCGGGTGTAGGTTTAAGGAGGCCCCCTTTGAGATACGCATCAACGCTCACCTTCACTGCTTGAGTTGCCCGCCCTTCCAAGCCAAATTTTCTTTGTGCAAGTTACAAAATAAACTTGGGGGTTAATGATTTTAATAATGTTCCAGAAATAAGAGACACGATTAGCACAATAAAAGATGTCATCAACTTTTTCGAGAATCTTCTCTACGGAGAAAGTACGTGCCAAATATTCCAGCTCTTTGCGAGATACGCTGGTCACAAAAAAACAAAAGTATTGCTATTTTTAACGATCATTTTGAGGGCATCCTCAATGGGCTTTTGGCAAATTCTAGAGAAGGTAATGCTGCAGCGAGAAAAAACGCTTACTACTTATTTTGTGCTGCTACCAAGTAAGAATTCATTATATCTGCTGGATTGATAGAAAAATACTCAGGAATATTGGAACCTGTTGCCAATGCCCTATAATCAAAGACAATAGACATGTATATATGAAAGAAGTATCTCAGTAACGCGGACCAGGAATTCCAATATGTCTTCGACACTTCTATGGAAAGTGCAGCTGTCATTGGAACCGATTTACATATCCCGCGCATTGCATTTCGCCAACATCCTGCTGAGACTCCATGCGATTTTTGGAAGCGATCGATCTTCATCCCGTATTTGGATTCCCTTATATCCGTAGTATATGTTCCAGTAGGCATATGCCTGCCTTCGGATTGATGATGCTGCATTCTGATGCGATGTTGAAAATTTCATTGGCTGAATTCAAACAGAAAACACAAAGTTTCAGCAGATACTATGGGTTAGAATCCTTTGGTAATAAAGCCAAACTGTGATGTAAATGATGGAAAGATGAGGTTATGCCAAGAGAACACCTTAGAGAGCTGAACTTTGCGGTGTTGTTAGAGAAGGCGGACAACATTCTTTCCTCCAACCAGAAAACCTATACTAATTTCTTTGGCACTGTCTTGCACCACGAGCAATGTAGAGAAGTACTTCTTTACACTGCGGTTTAGTCAAAACGTGGTTGAGGTCGACGATGCTCGATCTTGATCTCTTAACATACATAGGACACATAAATGGCCTGTGTATGTTAAGTGTCCAGCGAAAGATGGTACAAGAAAATTTACATGCAATTTTAGGTGAAGTCTTGAAACGGATCTGCGAAGAACCGAGAAAATTGCTCTTGTTTATATAAAATTTAATTTTTGTAGCGAACATATTAGTTTCACTTGCCTGCCCCCCCCTAAACTAAATCCTGGCTACGCCCTTGCAAGCGCTGGATGGGTCGGCAGGTTTTGTCGTATATCTGGTTGTTTAATATGATATAGCAAATTATTATTGTTACTATAATAATATAAAATAAAGGTACTATAAAATGAATTTATTTAGCTACTTAAATATGCCCATGTGTTGTGTCATATCTTTTGACTAGGTACCAGGATATTTTTTACGGTGTCATATCTTTTGACTCCCAGGATATTTTTTATGGTGTCATAATAAAAAAGGCTAGTTTTTCATAGATCTATCGATTCATACTAATTACATTGTTGGCGGAGCTGGGTGTGTTTTGCCCATGTCCTTTATAGTTAGACATTTCTAGACTTGTGCCGTTAAATAAGGTTTTCTTTCTGACTGATCAAACTTTCGTCATAGTTATGACTGACGCCGAGGAAAGCGTGGGCCACGTTAGGAGCAAACGCGATTTTTTAGCCCCGCTAATTTATTTTAGTAGCGGGGCTGAGCGAAATTATTGGTCTCAGTCTGAACCTAAATATGAAAAGATGTTTTAGAGACATGAATGAAACAATATTCGTTTTGCGATTCCCTACTACTTCTGACTCCTGAGCAACGTGTCTTAATTGTATTTTCGTAAAGACATAAACGCGTGTTGTCTAATCGTTAAAAACGCCGTGAGTATGGATATATGCTTAGGGCCAATTGATACCAGAATAGCAGCGACACGGCAGCGAGCCTTTTCTTGTGAAATAATACTTTATCTGCATACTTATAAACAGATCTGTTTTAGGTACTTGAAAAGTTCGAAGACATTGCGTCGGCACCCGCGAAACCGAACGATCGCGGCATTTTGAGTTCTTTTCAAACGATATTGGCCTTTTACTCAGATCAAATAAAAAAGTATGGATGGATCGCTGCGAACAAAAACTTAAAAAATCAAAAAACCCGACTGCTTAAATATTACTTTAAATAAAAACTGAAAAGAAAAAAACAAGTCCAGTAGTCTATAATTCTGTTAAGTAAGGAACAAAGCTACTTTAACAGTCGGGACCCATTAGATATTCAAGAATGGATTTTTTTTTTTCAATAATCGAACCCGATAAATCAACAAACTCGGTGCAGGCGTTTGGTCTCTAGTGTGTCACAATAGTTATTTATTATACAAGAGTGGAAAGTTCCTTTTTAACCGCGTGCTCGATTTGGATGACCGAGCAAGCGAAGGATTCTAAAGTTGAATCACGAGCGCAGCGAGTGATTCTAAATTAGAATCCTGAGCGTCAGCGAGGGAAACAAACGAGCACAAGGTGAAAAATCTTTCCACTCGAGTGCAATACGTAACTTTTCATCCCACCTCAGCGAGGAAATGACAAAATGAAAAAGAAAACAATTTATAATGACAAAATATTTTTATTTCAATTAAAACACATTAAGATAATCTATAAATTGAAGAAAATAATAAGAAGTAGAAAATAATTAAGAAATATTAAATGTAACGTTGCTACAGTTACTTATGTTAAGTTTAATATTTTTGTTAGGTAATGTTATGTTGGTGTTTGTGAATTGTGCGCTGTTTTGTGGTAAACTACTCGTATCAGTAATTTTAAATAGTTGTGCCGATTCATTGGATTCTATTGGCGTAAATGTTGGCGAGAGAGGGCTATTGTTTCCAATCTTATGGGGGCTCATTTTAGATGTAGAAGGGCGAGACCAAGAATCTGACAGAGGTTCTTTCAGCGTTATGGCCTCCACGATACTATTACAAATTTTTGATTTACTTTGGATTGAATCCTCTATGTATCCCTCTACAACCGAATTAGACTTCCAGCCTCCATGGCGCTTAAGCGATAGAAGATCAGCCCCTGATTCGGCCAAAAGTGTGGCTGAGGTTCTTCTAAAACAGTGACCGGTGTATAACGGGGGTTCTAAAAGTCCGAGAAAAGTTGCTATTTCTCGTGGAATACTGCCAATTTTATTCTGACCCATAGGTTGTCGGATACACTTTCCGTTGCGATATTGTAGAAAAAATCGTTCAATTGGGGTGTTAGAAGGACGTAAAGCTTGATATTTCTGAACAATGTTTACATATTCCTTGCGAATAACGAAGTTGCGGTCTTTTTTTGTCTTGGTATTTAGTACATTAATTAATAGCAATTCATCAGAATTATGAGAATATTTTGATACGTTATTGACATTAAGTAGTGTAAGTTCATTTGTTCGACATGCTCCGGTTATACCAATAATAAGAACAACCTGTAACAAAAGAAGTATTTATAATCGTAAATAAATTAATCAAATTAAAAATATTGTAAGTACTATGTACAATTTTATAAACAACAAAAAATTACACGTATTGACTTACTTTTGCCGCTAAATATACGGAATCAGGTGCTTCATTAATAAACTTTGCAATTTCAGATGCTGTGAAAACCTTCGATTTTTTTGGTTTATAACCAGATGAGGCTCTTTTTAAAAATGCCACTAATTTATGATAGGTGTCGATATGAACGTCTTTCTTCATCTTAATTGTTAATTTTAGCATTGAATACGTACTCCATAGCGTGCTTGCTTTCTTGGTCTCAGATAATTCTATAAAATATGCCAGCAAAACGTTTTCGGAGAAAGTTTTTGCTCCTTTAGCTAGTCGCCACATGTTAAATATATCGTACTGTTTCAAATACTTCTCTCGTGATTGCTGAGGGAGAAGGCTCATTTGCGCATTATTAACTGTTTCAGTTAACTCAGTTGGCGTTAGATAAACTTCATCGTCGCTAATGTCACTCATTTTAGTTGATTTTTTTGTACAGTTTTTAGGTTATGTTAATTATATTAAGCAATAAAACGTGAAAAACTAGAATGGCGCGAAGCACGCAAATAAAACAAAGAAACCAAGAAGGTTCCAAATTTAAATTTTTTCACAATTTAAAAAGTTCTAATCATAAATTTGGCACCATAGAGGTTACATTAAATAGGTTTAATGACGTTTTGAATTTACAATTATATTGAGTACTCATTATATGTGATGTTCTAAATTCAAATCTACTTTGCCGCTCAAGCGAATAAAATAGAATTTTCCAGCCAGATTTCGAAGCGCAAAATTACACTTTCCGAGGTGGTGGGATGAAAAGAAACATACATACATATATAGACTGTTAAACACTATACCCCGGGTGCGCGTCGCGCTTGCATTGCGCAGTTGGGTAAAAAAGTGGTTAAAATTAAGCTCTGCCGTCAACTGCCGTATACAATTACGTTGTACCTTTATGCGTGTATTTGTGTACGTACACGGCATTGCTTAGTTTTAACCGGTGCCACTTTTTTGTTCGCAGCGTTCCATCTGTACTTTTTATTTGATCTGAGGTCTTTTAAGCGTTTGTCAGCCGCTCTGTTCCAATGTGAATGGTTCCTTAGGTTCATGCCAGCCACTGCTTCCGTAACAGCAGTTGGCCGCGGTCGCCGGTCGGTGTGGCGTAACTGGCACCGCCACAATGCCAGCTTTCACTGTGAATGGGAACGGCGATATTACTCGTGTTCGAGTGTATACCTACACAAAATAGATAGTACAGAGGGTAAACTTCATACAAAGTACGCTTGAGCAACGCACATAAAGACACCGCTCACGGACACGATATCTCGGACCGATTGGGAACAGTGCGAGCGCGAGTTGAATCCGCTCACGTCCGTAAACTCTTTTGTTTAAAAATGGAGCAACAAAAAAAATATTATAACTGTTCAGTGGGCCGTTGTTTGAATTCAACATTAAACGATGAATTGACGTTTTTTTGAAGTGAAACTTCTTTATCGGCGTTGGAAAAAAAATTACCGTCACATTTTTCGGTTACGCGTCACATTTTTTGGTTACGCGCCATCTTTTTTTTGGTAATAACAACGACGATGAACATTGAAATGAAATGAAATGAAATGAAATGAAATGAAATGAAATGAAATGAAATGAAATGAAATGAAATGAAATGAAATGAAATGAAATGAAATGAAATGAAATGAAATGAAATGAATTGAAATGAAATGAAATGAAATGAAATGAAATGAAATGAAATGAAATGAAATGAAATGAAATGAAATGAAATGAAATGAAATGAAATGAAATGAAATGAAATGAAATGAAATGAAATGAAATGAAATGAAATGAAATGAAATGAAATGAAATGAAATGAAATGAAATGAAATGAAATGAAATGAAATGAAATGAAATGAAATGAAATGAAATGAAATGAAATGAAATGAAATGAAATGAAATGAAATGAAATGAAATGAAATGAAATGAAATGAAATGAAATGAAATGAAATGAAATGAAATGAAATGAAATGAAATGAAATGAAATGAAATGAAATGAAATGAAATGAAATGAAATGAAATGAAATGAAATGAAATGAAATGAAATGAAATGAAATGAAATGAAATGAAATGAAATGAAATGAAATGAAATGAAATGAAATGAAATGAAATGAAATGAAATGAAATGAAATGAAATGAAATGAAATGAAATGAAATGAAATGAAATGAAATGAAATGAAATGAAATGAAATGAAATGAAATGAAATGAAATGAAATGAAATGAAATGAAATGAAATGAAATGAAATGAAATGAAATGAAATGAAATGAAATGAAATGAAATGAAATGAAATGAAATGAAATGAAATGAAATGAAATGAAATGAAATGAAATGAAATGAAATGAAATGAAATGAAATGAAATGAAATGAAATGAAATGAAATGAAATGAAATGAAATGAAATGAAATGAAATGAAATGAAATGAAATGAAATGAAATGAAATGAAA